AGCTCCCCCTTCCCCTCTCCCAGCCGGCCCACAGACACGCAGGTCCCCTGGCTCGGTGGAGCCCTCCCCCACACCTCAGACCTTCCAGGCTCTGCGTGGCGAGCCCCTCGGGGCCAGGGAACGGCTCTACCCGTGGCACAAGGAGAGGGACCCAGCACGGGGATTCGAGGCTGTCGCTGCTTTTGGCCTCAAAGGCTCTAGCGTAGGGGCCGGCGACTCGCTCCCTGGCCTCACGGGTTCTAGGCCTGTGCTCCGACCGCAGCCCCAAGTCTCTCGGCATTGCCATCGCGGGCCAGCCGCCTCCTGGGCCAGCCCCGCTGCAGGACAGAGCCGGGGGTGCCGGAATCGCGCCCTGCCAAACGGCATCGCCAGGCACCCCAGCCCTGAGAAGCAGCCCAGCCCAGCCCAGGGCCCGGGTAGAAGAGAACAAGGCCCATTGCAAGCAGAGGGAGTCGCAGCTGCCTTTGCTCTGCGGGGCGGGAAGGGTCAAACTGGCAGTCTAGCCCAAAGAGGAGCTTGCGGGAATGGCTGAGAGGGAAGCAGGGGCAGCCTGTCGGTGTGAGGGCACGAGGCCCCTTTTTAGAGTTTCCACCCAGCTGTGCGAGGGGCAAGCGGAGGCCGAGTGCGCCCAGCTGCCCGCCCTGTGGGAAGCCCTGTGCTGCCTCACAGAAGAGGGTTAGAAACGTGCCACAGGCTCAGGCCAGCGTGGGCAGGACGGGGGTGACCCGTTTCCAGGTGGTTTATTTTCACAACTCCCCACAAGGCATTTTTTGGTAAAAAAAAAACTTTATTTAGAAAGTGCGAGGGGCAAGCGGAGGCCGAGTGCGCCCAGCTGCCCGCCCTGTGGGAAGCCCTGTGCTGCCTCACAGAAGAGGGTTAGAAACGTGCCACAGGCTCAGGCCAGCGTGGGCAGGACGGGGGTGACCCGTTTCCAGGTGGTTTATTTTCACAACTCCCCACAAGGCATTTTTTGGTAAAAAAAAAACTTTATTTAGAAAAGGAAAAGGGTTCGTTCCTCGTGTGCAGCGACTCGCCTGGCGACAAGACGCCGTACAAAGCTCCACGTGGCACGGCCACTCGGCGCTGCCCGCGGCGTCCCACCCGACGGTCCCTTCAGCCGCCCCTCT